ACGCTGCTCTTGTGAATCTCCCAGGCAGTCATGTCTAGGGGAATCTTACAATATTTGTTCTTTTGGCTCAGGCATTATGCATTATTACAGGAATTATTTTGTGCAAGTTTGTAATTTAGATCTCAAATTTCAAACAATCCACACTTAATGATGTAACTGAAAATAAATCTCTGCCTTCTTTTTGTATGAGAATTTTAAAAAAATACCACATTGCTATTTCCCAAATCTTGGTCATAAAAAGGATTTTCAAAAGCCATTCTTGCATTATAGCTGATCCTGCTCATTTCAAAGGCAGAACGTGCTAAAACATTGCGTCCCTCCTGCCGTAAATTGAGGTCCACTTTCAAAATATGCATATACAAAACAGGTGCTAAGTAGACTAATCATCCCCTTGAATCTGCTCTGCTATTCAATAAGATCATGGCTGATATGTTTGTATTTTCAATGCTACATTCCCATCTACCCCGATAACCTTTGATTCCATTGCATAAAGAGAATCAATCTACCTACACCTTAAAAATATTCAATGGTCTCACTACCACCAGAGTTGCAGAGTCACACAACCCTCTGAGGGACAAAAAAATTCTCCTCTCTGCCCTAAAGGAACAACCCCAAATTATAACACATTGTACCCTAGTTCTTGATTCACCCACAAGAGGAAACATCCTTTCCATGAACTCCCATTCAGGATCTTATACACTTCAACTTAATCATCCTTCAGTCTTCTAAACTCCAGAAACAAGCCCAGTCTGTCCAACCTATAAGGCAACATGCTTATTCCAGGTATCAATCTATTCAACCTCCACTGAACTGTCTCCAGTGTATTTACATCCTTCCTTAAATAAGGAAGCCAAAATTACACACAGTATTCAAGGCGCCATCTCACCAATACCTTGTACATCTGAAGCACAACATCCTTGCTTTTATAAAAACTGAAAAAACTGCGGATGCTGTAAATCAGGAACAAAAACAGAAGTTGCTGGAAAAGCTCAGCAGGTCTGGCAACTTCTGTGAAGAAAAATCAGAATTAACGTTTCGGCTCCGGTGACCCTTCCTGCTCTGAGGATAAGTCACTGGACCCAAAACATTAACTCTAGTTTTTCTTCACAGGTGCTGCCAGACCTGCTGAGCTTTTCCAGCAACTTCTGTTTTTGATTCTTACTTTTATGTTCAATTTCTCTCATAGTAAAGGATAATATCCCAATGGCCTTCTTGATTACATGCTCGCCTGATATACTAAGATTTGGTGACTCATATACTAGAACATTTCAAGTTACCATAGCCACTCTCTATTGAGGTCATTCTCCGCTGTTTTGTTCCTCCTGCCAAAGTGAACACTCTCATTTTCCCACATTATATACCATCTGCCAGATTTTGGCCACTTACTCAACCTATCTATCCCCTTCTGCAAACTCCTAGTGTTTTCTTCACAAAATACTTTCTTCGCTATTTGTGTCAGTGGCACCTTCATCTACTACTCAGTTGGTCCCCTTATCTAAATCTTGAGGATGTAAATTGCTAAAATTTAAGGGCCCAGCACAGACCTCTCTGAGACACCATGCATCTCATCCTGCCCTAGGTTTGTGTCTCCTGATTTCCTTACTTTGTGTTGTGCGTAAGCAATTATTTATCTTTATTTCCATCCCAATCAGTATTAAGGATTCCAATTTCCTCTGAGGTATTGTTTAGTTCCATTTCTATAACTATACAGTCAAAACTTTATGTAGTCAAAAATCAAAATTGGAATAATAAAATATAAGCAGAAATATTTCTTAACAATTCCAGGCTGGTCGCTTGGTAATGTAGGATTGAGCAAAAATACCCATATTCTGAAATACTACACCAAAACCTTGGACTTGTCAAAAAAAACCTTTTTAACATAAACTAAAAGGCAGCTGGGCTATGCTCTGGGTAAAATACAGAGACACAGGGATGTGTCCTTCAATTTTCATCCACAGGGATGATTCTCCTTCAATTCATCCCACTTCCTACAGACAAAGGGGGTGGCCATGGGTACCAGCATGGGCCCAAGCTATGCCTGCCTCTTTGTAGGATACGTGGAACAATCCCTCTTCCAAAGGTACACTGGCCCTATCCCCCACCTCTTCCTCCGTTATATCGATGACTGTATCGGCGCCGCCTCGTGCTCCCACGAGGAGCTCAAACAGTTCATCCACTTCACTAACACCTTCCACCCCAACCTTAAGTTCACCTGGACCATCTCCGATACCTCTCTCTCCTTCCTGGACCCCTCCGTTTCCATCTCTGGCAACCACCTGGAAACTGATATCTATTTCAAGCCTACCGACTCCCACAGCTACATAGAATACACCTCCTCTCACCCACCTTCCTGCAAGAATGCCATCCCCTATTCCCAACTCCTTCGCCTCCGCCGCATCTGCTCCCGAGATGAGGCATTCCACTCCCGGACATCCCAGATGTCCTTGTTTTTCAAGGACTGCAACTTCCCCTCCACAGTGGTCGAAAACGCCCTCGACTGCATCTCTTGCATTTCCCACAACTCATCCCTTACACCCCCTCCTCGCAATAACAACAAAAACAGAATCCCCCTCATCCTCACGTACCACCCCCCAACCTCCGGATCCAACACA